CCCCAGCGGGCAGAGTGGGTGAGGATGCTGCAGAGGTGGGGGGCGGCAGGAGGTGTGGGCCATGACACCCTCTCAGCCTCGTGGCCGATGCATTAGAAGCACTTAACAATTAGTGACAGCACTTTGAAGTGATTAGGATCATCTCATTTAAAGTAAAAAAAAAAAAAAAACCCACAAAAAAACCAAACAAAAACCCTTACACAGTAGATACAGGGATTTTTAAGGGTTTCCGCATTCCAGATGAGAAGAGCCTCAGCTCAGGGTCATCCAGTGGTGGAGGCAGGGGCCAGGGGCCTTCCACCATGTCCCTGACGGTCCTGCAGGAGAGGGGCCTCTGCAGGGCTCCCTGGGCTCCGAGAGGGGCTCTCTGGACCCCACACCCGGCTGGGGAAACTGAGGAGATGAGCTGTGCAGGCCCCTCCTCTCGCCTCCCCTTCCCAGGACTCCGAGCAGCCCCGATGGCCCTTTGCCGGACACCGACACTGCCCACTGGCCCTGCCTTCTGCCCAGCGTGGGGACAGCAGAGGGGGCGGCCACGAGGAGCAACCGGGATGCCTCAGCAACCGGCCTGTTTTCTTTTCCATTACAGGCAGCGGGGCTGCTGCCGGCAATCGCTCCTGGCCCATTTGTTGCTATTGGCATCCCAAGGCCCCGAATTACGATGACTAATTCCCACCGTTTTAGGCAGATCGAGGCCCTCTGTGGCAGTGTGCTCCAGGGGGAGCCGGGGTGGAAGTCCCACAGGCTGCACGGTAACACCCGACATCAATTCCAACTCATGCTCCTGACTCCCCGAGGGGCAGGGAGTCAGAAGAAGGATTGGGGAGGAGGTGTCCCAGCCAATCAGAGGACTTCTTCAACCACGGCCAAATCCCAGGATAATCAGCCACAGGGAGACTGTCTAACAGTCTAACAACCAGCTCGTTCTGTAAAGTAGTGAGTCCTCCGTCACTAGGGGTATACAAGCAGACGCCGGATGGCCAGTAGTCCCAGGCTTATGGGCAGAGGACAACACTAGTCGGCTTTTTGGGTTTCTTTCAAGTCCTCAGAACAGAGAACAAGTTCATTCCCTTACTGTTTTACTTAAAGCCCAACTGTGCCCTGTGGTACAAAGTCAAATGCATACCAATATGCAGTTTAACACATCATTTTAAAGTCGGCCGTTCAGGCACTGTTTAAACAGAGAACTGCTGTAAAGGATTTGGCCTCTTTCCCAGCTGCCCTTCCCCGATGGAACAAGGTTCCTGGCCCCTACTCTGGCCTTCCAGTAGAGGACATAAGGGAGAGAGCGGTCGATAACTATTTGCTGAACAAATGCATGGAAGGGAGGGTTTCTGAGGCAGGTGTCAGGCTGCCAGCACGATTCAGCCTCTGGGTAGGGGTCCTGAGTCTGCTCTATCCGTGCAGGGGCCATATATCCCGCAGCCAGGAGAAACACCAAACTGTGCCACCCGTCTGGCCACAGCCAGAATGTTCTGGACTCCTCAGCTGAAGCTCAGGGGTGCACAGGGCGAGGGAGAGAGGGGTGCGGGGCAGAGAGCCACAGGAGGGAGCAGGGATGCCCCCTGGCCCACTCTTGTGTGGGGCTTTGACACGCACCAGCTGAGCCCCAGGCAAGCACGACACTCGGCCTTGTGGTAATTAGCAAGAGGCCCTGATCAATAAGTTATTTTTTGCTGTCAGTAATTAATAATTACAGCTTAGCCACACCATGTAATTAAACTTTCATCCCGCTCCCTCGCGTGCTGTTTGGCTTTTATTGTGATTAGCTCCCAGCACTAAACTTTCTCCCTTTGGAACCTTCAGGAGCCTCCGAAGCTGGGCTTCCCAACACTGCCTGCTTCACTCAGCTCACACTTCCCTTTTGTCCCTCCCCCAGGCACCGTTCTCTCGAAAGAACCTTCTGGACCAGATGGCTGGGCTGCTACTGCCCTCCTCTCAGCCCCTGGGCCTCCCCGGGATGTCCACCAGCGATTAATTTTCAGGGCACCCAAAAAATCTTTTGAGAAGCTGGCTAAGATGCAGACATCCAGGCTCACCCAGACATTTCCAGACAGAGCACCTGGGAGAGGAGCCCAGCACCGGCGGAGGGCCACTGAGGACCGCGATGTAGCCTCTGAAGTAGAAGGTGGGTGGGTGGCCAGGGCTACTCCTCATGGTCGGGCTTAACAGTGTAAAAACATCATCATCATCATCATCATCATCATCATCATCATCATCAAAACAATTACCCTTGGGCACCTGGGTGGCTCAGTGGTTGAGCATCTGCCTTTGGGCTCAGGGTGTGATCCTGGGGTCCTGGGATCGAGTCCCACATCAGCCCCCTGCAGGGAGCCTGCTTCTCCCTCTACCTATGTCTCTGCCTCTCTCTGTGTCTCTCATGAATAAATAAAATCTTTAAAAGGAGAAAAAAAACACACCAACTATTCCCCTTTATGAAGGGCCTTCTAAGTGCCAGGCACTTGCGGCGGGCTCCCTCAAATACCTGGAATCGCTCTTTCTACAACATCGCGGCACTTAGTTTAGGAAATGGGTGTGAACTGTCGGAGTTTTGGGGGAAATGGTTAAATAGTGGCTTTCGGTATAGGCAGGTGATGTTGCTGGGGTCCAGCAGCTGAAAACACTAGCCAAGGTCTAGATAAAATCCTCAGTGGTGGCCAACGTGAGGTCTGCCCCAGGCAGGAAGGCCACCTCGGCCCTCACTCTGTGTCATGACTGGAGACACACGACTGAAGGGCTTAGGGGCTCAGAAGGGACAGTGCCAGCGGCTTCAACTACCCCCAAAGGGTTAAGGGCATGGCCTCCACCTCAAAAGAGAAGCTAAAGAGAACCTCTACCTTCTAACCCTAAAGCAGGTAGGAAAGGAACCCCCCTCAACTGAGTCTCCCCATGGCCTGACCCTAACCCCCCACACCCCACGGCCCCCTACACACAACACAGCACCCCCAAGTCCAGGCGAGACCAAGTTCCCACAATCCCCTGCATGGTTTGCCGCCAGGAGACAAATGGAGAGTACCCATGGACGCTGGAAAACACTCTCTCGGAGCCAGAGAACACAAATGCAGCAGCAGGGGACCTGGGCAGCCTCACTCAAGAAGGCAGCAAACAAGAGAACCAGAGAGGGAGGGAATCAATCAGTCTTTCCGCGTGGTGACAGGGCGAGCCCCTCCAGCAGGAGGACGGGGACAGAAGTGGCCGGGCCTTAACTTCAGCCGGACTGGTGGGTGGATCCTGGCCTCAGGTGGATGGGACAGGGTCGGCTGGGACATGATAGAGGCTTGATGGCCCAGAGGGAAGGACCTCTGGGTGCCCAGGGGACTCCTCATGGGCCTGGGCCTGCGTGGGCAAGAACGAGTGAGCCACCTGCCCCGGGGAAATCATGCCACTGCCACAGTCCATACAGTAATGAAGTCAGATGCCTCCAGACTGGGGCTGACACCCCCAGAGCCCTCCCTCTCTCCCGGCTTTCGGCCAGGAGCCCCACGGGCGTCTCGGAGCAACTCTGTGAGGCGCCCCAGGGCAGGCTGCACCCTGTTCCTCTTCTGCCAGAAGCAAGGTCCTCCCAGGACCCTCAGAAGAAGGGCCCGGCCCTTGGCAAACCCACACCAGCTGCGGAGGGTCCTGGGTCCGGGGACAGAAGGGCCCAAAACTCACCAGGTCCCTGTCTCTGCCCTCAGTGCACGCAGCAGCCTTGGGCAAAGTCATTTAATGCCTCTGGGCCTCAGTTTTCCTATCTGTGAAGTGGTAGCTAGAGTTAGCCGACCTCTAAGGTCCACCGGCTGCTGGAAGATTTTACGATGATCATAAAACTAATAATAACTTTTATTACCTTACATTTACAGGGCTCCTTACAAAATTTCTAAGTGGTTTAACGTAAATTACCTTATAAAATCCTCCCTTCAACCCGGTGAGTGAGAGCTGATTATTCTCATCTCTTTGATCTCGGCTCTCTGGACTGCCTGACGCTGGGCGCAGTGGGGTCCCTTCACCCCCCCACCCCGACCCCACCCCCCGCTGGCGGGCGACCCCAGAGTTGGGGTGGGGCCCGGTCGGGATGCAGCCTCCGCATTCCGGCGCCCCCGGGTGGGTGCAGGCAGCTCCCGAGCCTGGAGCCTGGAACCGGGAGGCCGAGCCCCGCGAGTCCTGAAGCTCGGTCGGGCTTCGTCTCCCTCCGCCCCCAGCAGGCGCCGCTCGGACACCGCTGGCACCACTGTCTGGGTCTGCGAACCCCAAAGGCAAGGAAGCGGCGGTGCAGCCGGCCTCCCCCGCTGGGACCTGCCCGAGGACTGGGGGCGGGGGGTGTCTGGGCATCCGCCCTCCGAGGGGGCACGCGGACCCTCCCAGCGCCTCCCCATCCCTCCCCATCCCTCCCCCCTCCCGCCCCCAAGGCAGGGGCTGCTCCCCGCAGCCACAGGTCAGAGAATCAGGAGCGGCGGGCGGAGGGGGAGGTCCAGGCAGGATGCTGCGTGTGCCCGGGGGCGCAGGGGGGGCCGCCGCACCCCGCGTGGGTCCGGGCTCGAGGCCCGCTCAGCCGAGCACCCCCGGCCCCGCGGCCTGGCCCGGAGACTGTCCCCCCCGGGGATCCGACTCGGGCTCCCGCCCCACTCGGCCGGCCCCGGGCGCTCAGCGCCTGCCGGGCACGGGGCCTGGCCCTTCCCGCGGACACGGGGACCCGGGGACCCGGGGACCCGGGCTGGGGAGCTCGGGCGCGGAGCCCCGCACCCACGCGGGCCCGGGGGGCACCCACGGCGGCGGGGGGGGCGCGCCACCCCTCCCCTCACCCCGGACGACGCTCCCAACACCGACCCCCACCTTCCCTCCTCGGGAAGCCACAAGTCTCAGGAAGGCGGCCCCACCCCCCAAAAAAGGGAGCCCCCCGAACTCGAGTGGGGGGGGTCCTGAAACTCCCTGGAGAGGCTCTGCGCAGGCTAAGCGCGGTGTCCAGGAGCCGCCGCCCCCAGCCACCCCCCAAGCCAGCCCCACGTGGGGTGGCCTCCTACCTTGGGCTGCGGCCGCTCGGATCCGGTGCAGGGCCAGCAGAGTCCAGACCAGCAGCCCCCACATGGCGCCCAGCCTTGCAGGGGTGTCCTCCGCGCTGTTTTATAATCCGGGGGTGCGGGGTCGGGGGTCCCGGGAGACTGTCCACGCCGCTCCGGCCCGGGTCGGTGGGTGGGCGGCAGGGGCAGCGCCGGCGACCCCAAGCCTTCCTGGGGGTCCGCCGTCCCAGTCCGGTCCGCGCGCGCCCCGAAGGCCAGGGGCGAGCCGAGAGGAGGAGGCAAGCCCGCTCTCGGATTCGGGGCTCCTCCCTCCCCGCGGCGCCCCAACTCCCGACTTCTCCCGGGCGGGGCGGCGTCCGCGGCGCGGCCGGGCGGCGGGCCGGGCTCCGGAATAAGCCGGCAACTTCAGGAAACTTCCTCCGTGGCCACGTTGCCCGCCCCCCGCGCCCTCCCCGCCCCCTGGCTGGGTGCTCCGCGCGGACGCAGTCACCGGCGCTGCGGGCGCGGGGCCCCCGGGGCCGGGCGGGAGGCGAGCGCGGCGGCGGGCGCGGGCGCGGGCGCGGGGCTGCGCTCAGGGGCGCGGGGCGCGGGGGCCGCGGGGGGCGCGGGGGGCGCGGCTGGCATAGCGGGCCGAGCCTCGCTGGAGCTGAAGTTTTCTTCTCGGGAACTTTGCAGGCGGCCTCCGGCGGGGCCGAGCCGCCCCCCTCGGCTCCCGCGCCCCGGCGCCCGACCCGGGGACGCTCGGTGCCCGCGGCGGCGCCGGCCCGGGCGCGCCCTCGGCTCCGCGCCCAGCGGGTTAGCAAACTTTGCGGCTCCCGCGGCCCGGCGCGCAGCCCCGCGCGCCCATGTCCGCGCCGGCGGCGGGGAAGGCGGCCGGCCCGGGCGCCGAGCCTCCTGCCGGCCGAGGACGGAGCCCGGCGGCGCCGCCCTCCGCCGCGCCCTGGCCGGAGCTCCGGGCGAGACGCGGAGAGCCCGGCGGGCAGCCCCGGCCCCGGGCGCGCGGCGCCTCCTCGGACGCACGGGCCCCGCCGCCCCTGCGCCTGGGCCGCGCCGCCTCCGCAGCCTCCGCGGCCGCCGCCGCCGCCGCCCGCCGCTCGCCGCCCTCCGCTCCCCGGGCTCGGCGTCCGGAGAGCCGCTCCTGCCTGCGCCGAGCCGGAGCTGCGGGGGCCGCGGGAGCCGGGGACGAGCGCGGCGCGGGCGGAGGCGGAGACGCGGAGAGGGGGGCCGAGCGCTACCCCGTGGCCGCGACTGGAGACGGCGGGCGCGCGGGGAGGGGGGCGGCGGCGGCCCCGAGCCAGGCCGGGAGCGAGCCCCGCCGAAGCCCGGCAGCCCGGCCGCCCCGCGCGGGGAGGGATGCGCCCCGGGCCCCTCCGCCCCTCCGCCCCTCCGCCCCTCCGCTCCCGCGGGCCTGCTCTCATCCCTGCGTCTCCCGCAGCCCGGACCCCCACCACCCCTCCCGAGGCACGGGGTGTTGCGGGGGCGGGGGGGGGGAGGCTGTGCTGGGCAGAGGGGGTCCCAGTCCCCACCCCACCCCCTTCCCAGGTCAGGCTTTCAAGAATCTGGAAACGCTCAGGGCCCAGAGCAAGACAAAAGGAAGGCCTGGGACTTACAGATGGCTGAGAAAGTGAAGTTGGTGCCAAGGCGTATGCATTCTTTGTTCCTTCTTCTTCTTCTTCTTCTTCTTCTTCTTCTTCTTCTTCTTCTTCTTCTTCTTCTTCTTCTTTTTCTTTTCTGTTCTTTGGAGCTCTGTTTGCTAAGGGTAGGAGTACAGAAGATTGGTGAGGGAGCCACAGAGAAGGGTTGGAGGTTTTCTCCCCTGTGGCCCCCCCCCCCCCCCAGAAATGAGCAGAACCAGCACCCACCATGGAAGAAGCCAGCTGGGTAGGGTTCGCAGGACCCCGTTAAAGTTTTCCGGGCACTAGACAGCTTTGCCTCCACGGACTCTTTTTTCACCGTTGAAAAAAGAATAAGAATTAGTGTATCGATGTAAAAAAAATACTATTTCAAGACTGCTGGCATAAAGACGAACATACTAATATTACGTATTAAAACGCTTTTTTCCAAGCTGAAAGTCCATTTATTATTTTTTTTCCTCATTTTTAAAGGAAATAGAAATATTTTATGGGTCTCCAGTAAAAGGTTGCGCTCCTCCGGCTTGGAGCCTGCTGAGCCACATGGGCAACCTCGGCCTGACCGCTTGGGGGTTTTTGCTGGGGAGCGAAGAGCCCTTGAGACCCTCCACATTTTATCAGGCCACTTTCTTCCTCTCTCCCTAGTGGTCTCACCTGGCCTCACTGTTGCCTCTCCTTCCTTAGGGGCCGCACCACCCCCAGAGGGCAGCCCCTTATTTATTGATTGCTGAGATGTGGACACAGCCACAGCAAACATTTCATTACTTCGTTTCACCTGCCTCGGGAAAGGAACTGTGGGTGTTTTCTGAAAATGGCTGAGAAGCTAGTCTGCCTTCCTCACAGCCCTTCCAAGCACCTAATTCAAATTATTTTCTCACTTTTTCCCCTGGCAATTTGTGTTGCATCCCAGGCCGAAGTCCTCCTGGCTGGCTGATTGGTATATGGGAGGGCTTCAGGGACGGGCGGCCTAAGGATGGCCAGCCGTCGTCCTTTCCCTTGGTGGCCATGCCCCTGCCAGCTTCTCGGCGATGCCCAGCTGTGGCCTCACACACCACGTCCACGCTCTTCCCTCCCCGAGCTGGAGCTCAGCCGGCGTGCAGGGTGCTGTTACACTCCTGGCTCACAGAGGGGGCCTGAGAGCTGGATTTGCTGGGAACTCCTAGGCCAGCCAGGAGACAGCAGGAAGGCTGGATCAGGGTTCTCAGAGGTGGGAACTCACAGGGCCACACTTGTCTGAAACCTTGCTGGACTCCACCCTCTCGATGCCCAGTCCCAGACTTCCAGCAGCCAGGAGTCTGCGCTGGATGCTCCCGGGGCCCTGGACAGCATTTGCTCTCTCTGTGTGTGTGAAGAGACATGGTTGTACAACCATGTGGAGCCCCCTGTACCTTCTTTGGAGAGTTGGATCCCCAAAAGCCAGGGCAGGGCACCAACCAGGGGGCAGCGGTCAGGGAGGTCTCTTCTGGGGTTGGAAGTCTCCAGGCATGTCTGCACGGTAGGGAGCAGGGAACCTGGGACCCCATAGGCGGCTCTTCAGCAACCTCTGCCTCCAGCCATCTGAGATGGAGAAGAGGATTCTGTTTGGCCTCAGCCTGCACACACACACACACACACACACACACACACACACACACACATACAGGAAGGGAAGTATCTGATTTTGCCTCTTACCCAAGTTTTGAGGGCCCAGGAGGGGGCTGAGCTGGGAGCCTGCCCCTTTGAGAGGGGCTCGTTACTGGGAAAGTCACTTGCAGACACCATGACCTCATTCTTGCCACCAGCAGCGTAATTAGAGGTTGCAGACCGAGCAGGAATGGTGGGTGCTGCATCAGGAGGGGCTGCGCGGCTTTCCCAGGCTCTGCGCTGCCTCCCCGTTGCAGTCCTGCCCCTTCCAGTTTGGTTCTGTGCGTTCAGCTGTCCTGGAAAACTCGGGACAGGATCTGGGTCTTCTCCCTCCTTGGTATCACTGTCTCTCTCCACCCCCAGAGCCAGCACTCTGGAGAAGGTTCCTTGTTTCCAGAAGGTTCTCTCCTCCATACATTTCACTCTGGAAACTGGAGGTGGTGGGGGGGGGCACAGAGCAGCAGAGAGTGGCACGATTCACTTCAAAAGAGAGGGAGGAAAGGCCTGGGTCGCTTGGCTTCACGCCTTTCCAAGTGGATGATGCATGTTTAAAACATTACCTTCTGGGGCGCCTGGGTGGCTCAGCGATTGAGCGTCTGCCTTTGGTTCAGGGCGTGATCCCGGGGTCCTGGGATCGAGTCCTGCTTCTCCCTCTGCCTGTGTCTCTGCCTCTCTCTGTGTCTCGAATGAATGAATGAATGAATAAATCATTACCTCCCTTGGACCCCAAGTGGGACCGCTTTCTTAGTCTCTCATTCTGCATGTAGAATCAATGGGAGAGAGAGAGAGAGAGAGAAAGAGAGAGAGAGAGAGATATTACTGCAGAACTTCACCAGCGAGCTCCTGGTGGGAGGTGCATCACACCACACGCCAGCCAAGAGCAGAGAGACAAAGCCCAGGATGGTCACACGGAGCCCTTTGACACCGTGGAAGGCCAAGATCCCCCTCGCCCCATCATCCCTCGGCATCAAGGCCATCCCCTGCCCCATCTCACACACAGACACCAAAGGGCAAGCAGGGCAGAGTCAGCTTTCCAATATGATTATTGTATATTTTTTTCTATTTTCCATCTCAAATGTAACAGCAACTAGAACAAAGTGTTCAACTGCAGAATCAGGCACAGCCTCCACCGGCGGGGACCAGCAGGCAGCAGTGACACCGGACAGGAAGGGAGAGGCCCTGTGTCTGCTCCCCACCCACACCTCCTCCTACTCCCTCACCCCTTGGTGCCCACTTCCCAAGTCACACGGGAACCACCCTCAACCAAGAAGCCCACCGTCGTGGTCATTTTGTGGAAAGAGTGAGCCCCAAGAAGAGGGGGGGGAAGCGTCGGACACAACTCAGCCTGGAAGGAGAATGGATGAGTGGCCAGAGGAGAGTCAGGGGGGATGTGGCCTTTAAAGTATGGGGTTTCGGGGCACAAATACTCCCCACACTCGTGCTTCCCTCTAAGCCCACCCTTTCCAGAATCTCATTCCAGGCGGCTCTCAGGGTTGGTGAGGACAGCGCTGGGCAACAGTTCCCTCCCCACCTCCCAGCAGGGATTTTGAGGAGAGCCATGCTCCACCTGAAGGGAACTCAGACAACTAATTGCCTTGAAACACGTCTTCCGGTAAATAATTAATGGCATTCTTTTTTTTTTTCATTTTGTTCCATTTTGAAGATGGAGAAAGGGAAGGAATAGAATGGATAGAAGTGGTTTATTAATCTCCATTGGAAGAGAGAGGGGGGCCCTGGGTCCCCGTCTGAGTCAGCTCGGGCTGCCGTAACAAAACACCGCACGCTGGGGGCTCACGCAACGGAAATTTATTTCTCACAGTTCTGGAGGCTGGGAAGTCCAAGATCAAGCTCTCTTTCTGGCTGGTAGCTGGCCTCTTTCTTGCTGTGTCCGCACATGACAGAGAGAGAGAGAGAGACCAGAGCTCTCCTCTTCCTAGGAGGACCCATGACCTCATCTAAACCCAATTACCTCCCAGTACATTGTCAGACTAGAGGGAAAGGGGCACAACCCACCCAGCCCACAGCAGCCCCTAATCCAGGCCCCACTCCCATCCTCAATTCCCTGTTATCATGGACTTTTATTTCCATGGGAGGAAGAGCCTAAGCGGACGAGGCATGTCCTGGGCTGGGCTGCGGGGCAGCCTGCATCTTCCGTTCCTCTGTGCTAAGGTCAGAGCCACCACGCGTGGCGCTCGTGACCCCTAAGGCCTGGGTTCTGGGGTTCTGTCTGCCGTGTTCCTTCCTGCGTGCACCCACCGATTCTCCAGGGAAAGAGGAAAAG